CTCGCCCCAGCGATTCGCTCCGAAGCAAAGCAGTTCTCCAGTTGCTCTCAAGGCGGCGGTGTGCTCAAGTCCCGTGGCCACTGCCACCACCGGACCCAGGTCTGGTGGCAGAACCTTCCTACCCAGACCGAAGAAATGCAGCTGCCCATCCTCATCGATGGCATACAGTGAATCCATGCACGCTGCCACGGAGCAGTTGGAGCTCAGGATTCGGAATCCCAAGAAGGGCAGAATGAGCTCCGCCAACGTCGTCTCGCCAGTGAGCTGGACAAGCAAACGCAGGTTGTAAACGTCCTGAGGAGTGATGTAAAAATCACTGCTCCCCAATTTTCGCAGAGCCATATTGTCGCGTCCTCTCCCGCAGCCCCCGGCCCGAATAGGCTTGAGACGAAAGCGAGAGGACACGTTCGAAAGCAGCCTTCAGTCACGAAGAACAGATGTCACTAGCTGCACTGCATGCAACTGCACAAAGTGCACTAACTTGTAGTTCAAACAACAAGGTTGCAATGACCTGCACAGCAAAGAGCCGCAGGGCCCAGTCCTCCCGGAACTTGTCGTCCGGAGCAGACTCCACTTCAAGGAGCGATGGTCATCCCTGAAGGGAGGAGGAAGTGCGGTCTTTGTTACGACACTTCCTTCAGTCTGCCGGGAAGTGTCAAAACAGTGGCTCTTACGCAGCATTCAAGGACAGGCCAAGTCTGGCACAAGCAAAACAGTGCACAAGCGGGTACTTCTTTCCTGTTGAGACCGTTAAGACACACGCAATTCCACCCATAGCCCCACCAGAAATCGCATCGACCCCACTGCTGACTCAAACCTCATGGTTACGGCCTGAAAGCACCCTTATACGACAGTAACAACAACTGTAACTGTAGGTTGCTTCATAATCCTTGGAACTTTATTCTAGAAATGGAACATGAGTCCCAAGAGCACTAAAGTTGTTGACTTAAGGCTCAAGGAGAGTGCATCTGCGCCGGAGCTCCTAAGGCGATCTCACCCCACGATCCTCAATGCCTCCTACATACTGCACGATGTCTTTTGGCAGCTTTTTGCACTTGTCGCTTTAGACTCTGGTTCATAGTTGCTTCCCGGGGCAAAATCTGCTAGCGATGACATGTGCAACTTGCGAGCTAGATGCCCGAATCCACCACCCGAAACAGGAAGCCGCTACACCTGAGCCCTAACCCGAAGGCCAAACCCCGGAAGCCCAGCTCGAGACTATTCCGAACACGACTTTTGCCGAGGGTGTGAAGGAAAAAGGAGGGTGGCGTTTTACTTCGCCGTTCTGGCAGCAGAGGTTAGGGTGTTTGGAGTTTGGGGTTTAGAGTTTCAGGGTTTACGTTCAGAGTTTCGATGGCTCTGGGACCTTGCATGTGATTCAAACATTATAATATGGCTCATTTTCGAGCAGATGAAGAAGTTGTGGAACCAATAGACTTCGATGCAATCTTTTCGCAACAGCCTTCCTGAACCTTTAACATACACCATCCACGTGAACAAACAGCTGCAGCAGAGCAATGTAAACACTACCGCAAGCATTCCTTGACCGGGCCCTACACCCTGAATCAAGATATGAAACAATGACAGGCACTCTGTTCAGCAGTGCTCTGAGCCGAGCCCACACATCCTAGACACACATGAGAACCTACTAGAAAGCCTGAGAAGCCCGTAGTTTTGAAACCTGACACCTGACACCCGAAAGCTGACCTGCCGATTCCCCAAAACAGTAGCCTCGACAAGGCCACATAATTCAGAGACCGCAACAAGATCCATGAGGCCCAGGCCCACACCCCAAAGCCCGAAATCCCGAAAGCTCGCAGGGCCTGTGAATCGACGGCTCCATCCGGCTGATCGATCAGCGGCTTCCGAGCCCAAAAAGCAGTGGAGAAACGAAGATCCCCAACAAAGCAGCGGGCGAGGGCTTAGAAGATGCATCCGAGAATAAACATACTCCGAAGCCCAGAAGTATCCTTGAGTTTGCGGGTTTCTAGGCCATAGCCCAGCTTTTCCATACTCAACACTGGCTTCCTGAAGCAAGAGAGTAGCAAAGAAGCAAGATAAAGCTACAGCAGAGGCCAGCGCGGAGTGACCTTTTTGTGAACTGCAACAGACCAAAACTCTGCAAATGCCAGCTTCTCGACACTCGAAGGTCCAGAGTTAAGGTTTTGCCCTGCGGTCTCAGATCCTGGGTCAATTCTGTGGGCCTTTCACAAACCTTCATGAACAACTTCTGTCACATAAACTCGCTTCTGCGGATGTCCTTCCAGAAGATGACACCCCCAGACTCTGAATCCTAATATATCCTAATCAGAGTTTGCGAGCTATACTCATATAACCCATACTCTTAAGAATGGAGTGTCGAAGTCGAGAAGCATCCGGCGGTCAAACGAAACTGAACCTGGTCCAAGCACCAATTAGCGCGAAAGTGGATTTACATCACTCGTCAGGCTGTCGGAAAACAAGTCAGTTCTTTATAAGGTCAAGGCACCAGCTTCTAGAATGTTGAGGGGCCGCACCGTCGCTGTCATTTAGGCATCCAGTCCTGCTGACCTTTCATGTGGCGCTTCGCCCCTTGACGATGCAGCATACAGCCCGCCAGCTAGACCCGTGACATTTAAAGACTCATGGCCGCAGCAGCCGCAATTTGTTTCTTTGCTGCTGCTTTTCTGGTAAACAGACCAGACCTGACATGGCAAGAAGTAAAGGCACTGAGCCTTAAGTGCAACCTCAACAACAATCCAAAGGGACTCGAAAATCCTTACAGCCTGAGATTCAACTTGGCGCCTGGACACGATGAAAGCCCCAGCGAAGGGGGGAAAAAAGGGGAAGCGAAACAAGGACCGGCGAGAGCCATCGCGCCCGAAACCCAAAGATGCTTCCATTTTCAAATCTGGAGGCCCCTCTGCTTGCCCTCGAGGAAGCCGAACACAGCAGCCAATCTTACGATGCCCTTGATTTGAAGCCTTTCAAACTACCTAGAACCCACTATCCCAAACACACTATGACCCCAAAGCCCTGCACCATGAAAGCTCCTGTAAGCCTGTAACCGGAATCGAGCACGTCCTTTCTACACCCGTTGATGTACTGCTGTAGCTAGCCTTAAACCGTTCAACTCCCGAGCAATCCTTCCTACCTGGTCTTGCTTGTATGCTTGTAACCAATAAACATATTAAGCCACCCTTCTATCAGTCCCAAGGAATCAGGCGTTAGGATGGCTCAGGCGCCACTGAAGCACCGTCTGCGCCAGCCCTTGTGTGAGGCGGGTCGTCCCCGAGCCGAAGACCGCCGACCTCGAAAAGAGCAGAGTTTAGGGTTTAGAGTTGAGGGTTTAAAGTTTAAGGTTTCCCGTTTCTTTTGGTTTAGAGTTTTTTTTAGAGTTTAGGGCTTAGGGTTTAGGGTTTAGAGTTTAGGGTTGATTCACTGTCTGGCTCTTCGTAGCGAATGGGGGACTGGGTAATGGGGACAATTATTCGGGATTCTATAGGGACTACTATAGGGATCCATTTCCCCATTCCGTACTAAGCACCAGACGATTCAGGTTTGGGTCCCCAGGAGAAGTCTACAGTGTGGACAGAAATCATCGGAGATACTGGGAAGGCTCATCCTGAACAATCAACCCTACACCTCCAACCCTAAGCATCAAACTCTGTGCCCAAAGCATACATCTTCGGGTGTTGACGGTATCGAAGTCGTGTTTCTCTCGGATTAAACACGCCAGATGCGACACATCCCATGTCCCGGCAATCAAATTCACAGAACCTGGCACAAAATCCCAAGCCCTGAGTCCGATATCTGCAGAAGCCTCAGATACGCCCTGTTTATGGCCTCTCAGAACCCAAGGTATGCTTTCTGAGGCCTACTCTGAATCCTCCCTCTGCTATTTGGGAGTTTCCGGAAATAGGGGACCCTAATATAGTACCTAGATAGTAGGATCCTTATAACAAGGATCCCAAAATAAGGTACCCCCCATTTTTCGGAAACTCCTATTTCGAGCCCAGGGGCTGAAAGGCCAACACCAGCTTCGCCAGCTGGCGGCCCGACATGCCCTCGGTCTTCTTGGCCACGTCCTGCCGGAAGAAAGATTGATTTAGGGACTCCAGATTCAAAATGCGGTACCCCATACGCTAGGCCACTAGACCATGAATAAAGAAGGGGTTTGTTGTAAAGACCCACATTTTCAGGAAGCTTCGCATGGATTCTGCTCTAAGGGATGCTTGGAGTTAAGAGGAGAGTGGCTGCGAGCTTCTCCCTAGCTTGAAGTTTGAGGCTCCAGAGAATGCTATCATGCTTGCGTTCTAGTAAAGCTGCTAGCATAGCAGCATGTCCATACTACTGAATGTGACTGTGATACACTGTAAATATAGGATGAGTGCTCAATGCCGTTAAAGCTGCACCAGGTACACACCAAGCTATGTCCGTCGTGTAATAGATGACCCGTCCCCTCAAGAACAACACACACAGCAGAAACTAGCAAGTGCTTCTGGGGTTGAGGCCACTCATCACCCGCGAGTTTTTGGAGCATCCGGGCTTCGCAGCGCCGACGAAACCGAGTTCAGCGAGTCACTCTTGCAGCTGTTCATGTGGAGGAAGCTAAAAGCAAGTCACTCCACAAAGACAGCCCAAGAGAGAGGCCGCCACTGGAACTTTGTGGCATCGTGCTGCCCTCGATTCGGGAGTCGTTGGCCTGTGGATGTTCTTCTTGGATGCTGCAAAGACCACAGAAACAATCCCGGCCAGGTGTCGACTATTTGTACATCGCGAAAGAAGCCTGTCTCCACAACACCTTGATACATGATATCAACAAGTCACTGCAGCTTCCAATTCCGGCTCAACGGCGTGGCCTCTACCAAATACGTCCTTGGAGGAAGCTAAAAGCAAGTCACTCCAAGACGCTATGGCGAACAACAGCTGTACAACGGGAAGACCTCCAAAATTGTTTTCCCATGGGGCATGATGGGCATTCTGTGCTGGCCTTGCCAAGGTCTTGACATATCTTCGAATTAAAATTGGTATGCCCTATGCGGTTGGAATCTGCGTGGGTTCGTGCCGTGGTTTCCATGAGCCGTGCGTGCCTCTGTCGTGGACTGCGCCACGGAGGCTGGACTGAGCAACATCCCGGAAGGGATATTCAAGAAAGAGCGGCTGACCAGCACCACTTCCCCATCTTCATCTGCGAAGCCGATGTCTCGGGAGCTTCTTGGGAATACACGCAGGCTGTAGGGGAGCTGCCGGACCACCTGCAGCACCTCTTCCTCCAGGTTTTCCGCGACCAGGACGTCACAGGGCCTCAGCTGCATGCTGAACAGATGGCAGCGGATGGCACGGAGGCACCAGGGCTCCATGAAGATCTTGGAGCCGGAAGGCTGCAAACGCCAGTCCAAGCCCTCATCTTCCAGGGCCTCCCGACAAGGCCGCAAGGCCGGAGACTTCGCCAGAGCTGTGTCCAGCTGGACTGCGCCACAGAGGCCGGATTGACGAGCGTCATTGCGGGAATGTTCAGGAAGGAGCGGCTGACCAGCAACACTTCCCCATCTTCGTCCGCGAAGCCGATGTTCTGAGAGCTTCTTGGAAACACGCAAAGGCTGCTGGGCATCTGCCGGATCACTCGCCTGACCTCTTCCTCTAGGTTTTCGGCGACGAAAATGTCGCAAGGCCTCAACCGCATGGTGGACAGATGGCTGCAGATTGCGCGGAAGCAGATAGGCTCCATGAAGAGTTTGGCGCCAGAGGGCTGCAAACGCCAGTGCAAGCCTGCGTCCTGCAAGGCCTGCCGACATGGCTGCAAGGCCAGAGAATGCTCCAAATCTTCGTCCAGCTGGCGATGCGAGCGGCTCAAGGTCAAATGCACCACCCGAGTGAGTCCTACATGCATCTGAGCCTGCAAGTCGTCGCCATGCCAGCCGGATCCGATGTTGTGCTCAATCCAAGATGCCTCCTGTTATCTCCTGTTCCGCCACGATTGCAGCGCCCTCCTCTTCCGAGATGTCAGCGGCAGGCTCGTCGTGATGCACGGGCTGCAGCACCTCCTGCATTGGATCGCGGGTGGGTGCACGGATGGACTGTGGAGCAAGCCGAACCTTGAAGCCTGGCGGCACGTCGCACTGACCACACCGATTGTCTCCGAAGCAAACCAGCTCGCCACTCGCCTTCACGGCACAGGTGTGATATGCTCCTCCAGCAGCCACGGCCACCACCGGACCAAGGTCGGGAGGCACCTCGCACTGACCACACCGATTGCCTTCGAAGCAAACCAGCTCGCCACTCGCCTTCACGGCACAGGTGTGGGCTCTTCCGGCAGCCACGGCCACCACCGGACCGAGGTCGAGAGGCACATGGCACTGACCAAACTGATTGAATCCGAAGCAAAGCAGCTCGCCACTCGCCTCCACAGCACAGGTGTGAAGCACTCCGGCAGCCACGGCCACCGGACCAAGGTCGGGAGGCACCTCGCACTGACCACACCGATTGCCTTCGAAGCAAACCAGCTCGCCACTCGCCTTCACGGCACAGGTGTGGGCTCTTCCGGCAGCCACGGCCACCACCGGACCGAGGTCGAGAGGCACATGGCACTGACCAAACTGATTGAATCCGAAGCAAAGCAGCTCGCCACTCGCCTCACAGCACAGGTGTGAAGCACTCCGGCAGCCACGGCCACCACCGGACCAGGTCGAGAGGCACATGGCACTGACCAAACTGATTGAATCCGAAGCAAAGCACTCGCACGCACAGGTGTGGGCTCCGGCAGCCACGGCCACCACCGGACCGAGGTCGAGAGGCACATGGCACTGACCAAACTGATTGAATCCGAAGCAAACAGCTCGCCACTCGCCTTCACGGCACAGGTGTGGGCTCTTCCGGCAGCCACGGCCACCACCGGACCGAGGTCGAGAGGCACATGGCACTGACCAAACTGATTGAATCCGAAGCAAAGCAGCTCGCCACTCGCCTCCACAGCACAGGTGTGAAGCACTCCGGCAGCCACGGCCACCACCGGACCAAGGTCGGGAGGCACCTCGCACTGACCACACCGATTGCCTTCGAAGCAAACCAGCTCGCCACTCGCCTTCACGGCACAGGTGTGGGCTCTTCCGGCAGCCACGGCCACCACCGGACCGAGGTCGAGAGGCACATGGCACTGACCAAACTGATTGAATCCGAAGCAACCAGCTCGCCACTCGCCTTCACGGCACAGGTGTGGGCTCTTCCGGCAGCCACGGCCACCACCGGACCGAGGTCGAGAGGCACATGGCACTGACCAAACTGATTGAATCCGAAGCAAAGCAGCTCGCCACTCGCCTCCACAGCACAGGTGTGAAGCACTCCGGCAGCCACGGCCACCACCGGACCAAGGTCGGGAGGCACCTCGCACTGACCACACCGATTGCCTTCGAAGCAAACCCGCTCGCCACTCGCCTTCACGGCACAGGTGTGGGCTCTTCCGGCAGCCACGGCCACCACCGGACCGAGGTCGAGAGGCACATGGCACTGACCAAACTGATTGAATCCGAAGCAAAGCAGCTCGCCACTCGCCTCCACAGCACAGGTGTGAAGCACTCCGGCAGCCACGGCCACCACCGGACCAAGGTCGGGAGGCACCTCGCACTGACCACACCGATTGCCTTCGAAGCAAACCAGCTCGCCACTCGCCTTCACGGCACAGGTGTGATGTCCGAAACCCGGTGCTCCTCCGACAGCCACTGCCATAACTGTACCGAGGTCGGGCGGCAGATCCTCCGTTTTCGTGCTGAAGCCGGCAAGCTGCCCAGCCTCGCTGATGGCGAATGTGTTGTACTGATTTGTGGCCACGGGGCAAGAGCTCAGGATGCGGAACCCCAAAAAGGGCACAACATGCTTGGCCCAATCGGTCCCGCGAAAGTGATGTACGAGCAAGCGCAGGTTGTAAACCTCCCTTCTGGTCACATACAAGTTGTCATAACCCACAAGACGCAACGCCATGATCTCCAGCGCACTGACCCCGTAGGCTTGAGACAAATTCGATCCACGGGCAAACATCCTTCGAGCTACGGCCTCTGCCGTGCAGGGCCATGGGTTGCACAATTGATGCAATCAAGTCGCACCTCATTGCCATGGCTCATGGGCTTAGGATTTTTGGGGGCGTAGGGTTATGGGGGTTTCCGAGTATAGGGGACCCAATATAGAACCCTAAATAGTAGGATCCTTGTTATAAGGGCCCCAAAATGAGGTACCCCTATTTTCGGAAACTCCCTTATGGCTCTTTACGGCAGATATCCCAAGTGACCCAGTCCTCCCAAAACTTGTCGTCCAGCGCAGCGTCCACTTCGATCAGCGACTTTCCGCCCTTCGCGGCGCGCAAGAGGTACCTGTGATTCATTGCGGAAGTTGTCCCAGAACCGATGGGCCTGCTCTTTGAGAACCAGGCTAGGAGCTGGTAACATAATCCTAGAAGCAGCCCTGCTTATCCATGCATGTGTTCAGGCAGGAACTTGTTCTGCTGGTTTGAACGAGCGAGCCAACCCGTGCCCCAAGGCTGTTGGGAATTTTACCTGCAAGGTCTTGCGCTGTTTTGGGGGTGCGAGCTTCTATGCCGTCTATACCTTCGAAGTATGATTTTACATGGGTATCAACAGGACTTGGCTCGGGTCTGAGGACCGTGTCGTAAGCAGAACAAAGCTTTCGGCAGTAGCTACAGCTACGCTTGCAAGAGCCATAGTTGAGGGTGCTGCTTTCTTCATCTGCCATGAGCCAGCATAAGAACACTTATGATTGTCATGATGGTTTGTCAGTACTTACTCTTGCCGCGACTATGATTATGATAAACTATTTGCCTCGTTGCTGCTATGTTCCACTCGAAACCTTGTCGTTGAGCCCTGAATCCGGCGGCCCTTGAATCCTAAACGCTTCGGACCCAAATCTTAAACCCTCTTAACACGAAGCCCTGAAGCCTGCGCCCCCAAAACTCCCCGCCGCATGCCTGAATAGTTGCCATACTATTCCCCAGAGCTCCCATCATGCTTACAGAAAAATGACGTACACCAGATGCAAGTAGTCTAATTGTCTCGACCTCCTATTGTTTGGACCATCACATCTTGAACCCTCAGTTCTAGACCTCAGACTTCGAGTTCTGAAATCTCCTGTACCCTAGACACTGGCCAAGTCGCTGATCGATGAAGAGTCGGAGCATCTGATTCCGCTGCTCGAAAGCGGGTCTGGCATCAGAGCCGACGAAGCTAAACAGATGTGGTAGCCAGGCCGCTGAGGTGCTTTTTGGGGTTCAGGGGTTTTAGGCTTCACCGTCAAACTGCGAAACCACATAGACGAGGTCTAATGAATCTGAATCTTAAACTGGGCTCCCCGGCTTTCCCGGCTTAGGGTTTCGGTTTGGTTTAGGTCCGTTTAGGGATTTTAGGGCTTGGCTTGCAGGGTTTGGGGTTCTGGTCCGGTCCTTGGAGTTCTGGGCCTTCTCGTGGCTTGCTCTGCTTGGGGGGTGGGGGGGGTGAGAGGGGTTCCGGATTTGGGCTGCAGACCTCTTCTGCGGTGCGATCATGCCATGCATCACTGAATGCGCAAACAGTTAAACATGCACACATGCTAAATGCACAAGAGCCGACACTCTACACCTCCATACCCGACACCTAGCGTCCATTTCCCTCGTAAACCATGGAATCTTCAAACCACCATAATGGGAACGAACCGTCAAGAGCCCTCAATCCAGGAATCTGCGCGGCCTCGGAAATTCGAACTCCTCATCCACACGGTCGAGGACGGCGCGATCCAAGACGGTGGGAACATTCCTTTCGAGCTAAGAGCCAGGCAGGGCGCTCTACAAGCAGGCCTGTGCACTAGTCACGTGTTGTTTTTGCTGTGCGGGGCTTCGCAGCTGAGCAAAAAGACCTGAACCTTTAAGGCTTGAAGCCCAACTGCTAAACCCCACCTACACCCTAAACCCGGAACCCGTCAACATGAAAGTCAGTGCGTTCGACGTCGCGAATTGCGCCACTTCTAGGCTACCGGGTTGCAGGCCCATGACGTTGTTTCCCGCTGCAAGGAGGTAGGCTTGTAACAATGCCCTCAAATCTTGCTTGAGCAACGTCAACCAAATTCAGGCGTGTGGTGATTTTTCAGGCGCATGACAGGCCTGAGGTGCCTGGTGTCGGAGAACACAGTTCGTATAGACCAGCAGAGCGGCGTTGCAAGAATCACGGCCACACGGGCGCTTTCCGTGCCGGTGTGATGCAAAAAGACGGACCTGCAGGGTTCAGATTTAGCGGTTAAGGGCTTATTATTTTTTGTTGGCGGATGAAGCTTTCTGAGAGGTTGACAAAGTTTCGTTTTCGCCTTCCTGGACGAATCCCGCCTTCGAATATGATCCCTATTGCTTTTCGTACGACAACCTCAGGCTCCGAGGGTGCGTCACAACGCGAGAGCTCCCAAGAATGCACTTTACCTGACCCAAACATATGAGATACCCTGACGTCATAGGAATGCCCATAAAGCAACTCTACGCCCAAGCTTCTACTCTACTTTGCATGGAAATGGGCCTGCTGGCAATGGGCTTGGCCGCAGGTTCACGGTTCCACTGCAAAATCAGTTGGCTTGGAGGCGCTTGTTGACGGGTCAAGCCGCTAAGTGAGCATGGGCTGAGGTTATCGGAATTGGTTTCCCGTTTGAATCGAGGGCCTCGCATGTAGGCTTACGAGTTTTGGCGGCCACCGAATGGCAAGTCTATGTCCCTATAGGCTCCATGTAGCCATATATAGTATACACTTAGGCCTCAAAGTACCTATATAGGAACCCCTTCAAGGCCCAAGTATTGTATGTACCAAGGCACAGGGAGTTCCTCGCATCCTCGCCCATAGTGCCCTCTCCACCACGGCCGCGGCGAAGGAACGAGTCAGCCTGAAACAAACGTCTTCAGACTCTCCCAAAGCCAGAAAACATCGGGCTTGAGGTCAATCCTAGCCCCAAGGAGTCATAGCCGAAACCCTACTCCAAGATCTGCGTATTGCTTCCAGCTATGTGTCCCACACCCCAAATGCGACAAAGCATAGATTCCAAGACTCCACCTACCAAGCCGCCATACACAATCCGGCATGGAGCCTTTCTCCAGAAGAGGCACCGCCAGGAAGCCCCCATCCACCCCTATGAGATCCTATCAGCAAGACAAAAGCGGCTTCGATTCGAGATCGCGGATGCCCTACCCCTCCAGTTCCCGACTGGACCCTGTACATCCGATACCCGAAGGAAAGTCGTCGAACTTCGGCTTTAATCACGTTTGTCCGTGCCTCGTCTATGAAGAGGACCAGTCCTGCCAGAAGCAAAGAACAAAACAAGGACTATTTCGCGGTTTAGGGTTCAGGGATTGAGGGCTCGAGGATTTTAGCCCTATACGGCCGAGGTGCAGGGAAGACGAAGATGATTTAGGTCACAAGGTGGACTACCAGGGCTTCGGCTTTCGGGCAAGCTCACTGTTCGTTTTCGTCGGTTCAAGGTGTATGGTTGAAGGCTTGGGGTGATTTTAGATTTCAGTGATATTTCTCGGATTTTGAATCACCACTACTTCCCTGGTCCACCTGAGCAATTGTTGGGTTTTGGCCTTTGAGATTCCGGGCGTGTAGGCGTTAGATTGGTGCTGGTGTGGGGTATGATTGGGCCCGCAGCGTCAGTGTAGCCTGTGCAGCTTGGGGATCTTTCTCGGCCGCTGGCCCTAGGAAGAAAAGCTCTGAGTCTCAGGATAATGGAAAAAGTACGAAGCCTAGAAATTGGCACTACTCAACTTGTAAGAGAAAGAGCATTGCCAAAAGTACTACGACGAAGAAGGCATCTAGGATGCCGAGCATCGAAAAGACTGCGAATCTTACTAGGTCTATTGGTTAGTTAGACATCACCTAAGAGTTCAAAGATGCCCCTTGCTTTGGTTGCAGTTGCAAAACTCAAAAGTCTAGGGGCCTCAAAAATGAGAAGAAGGCTTTGGGGGACTCCTTAGTATATTCATAGTATGATATACCCCCAAACCCGACTCGAATTCGCAAGGCCCCTTGTGTTCCCTCATAGTAACCCTTGTAAGGAACCCTATGAAACCCTATCATAATTCTTTTCGAGGTGCTACCGAGGAAGGGCCTTTAGAGGAACCTGGCTACCTAAGCTTTGGACTCTAGGCTCAACCCTGAACTTACACCCCAAAAGGCACGCAACAACTTTATATACGCTGAGCAAAAAGGCCTGCATGTGTGTCATTCTGCGCAGGGGCTCATGCTGAAATCACTCCAACACTCCCCCCTTTGCGCTTCGCAAAGCCTAATGGTCTGTTTAGACCCTGTGGACTTCTACCTCATTCGAGGGATCCATCCATTCAGGAGTCATGGAGCCATTGTCTTAGAGCTCAAGGCCTTTCGAAAGATTCAAACAAGGATAAAGTCTGAAGACTAGTAGCTTAAAAGCCCCTTTAACCCCGCGGTACCGCCTCAAAAATCCACAAGGGAAAGGACGGATGGTGGCACGGCGAGGAGGGAAGAAAGAAGTCGAGGGCCTGACTAGCCCCGAAGGAAGGCTAAGTCCAGCCATGAAGAAGAAAGCGACACTTACAGGCCGCTGCAAAAGTCCAGGCCGGCAGGCAGCGGATCAGTTTAACGAGTTGGTGCTCGGAGGCTATGGTAGCCTGCAAGGCACTGGTTGCCTTGAAGTCCATCACTCACCCTCCCCTGCGGCGTCGAAGTCCAGTAGGGAGATTGGTATGGAAGACCGTGCGGCCAACCACACAGTCACTGCACGGAAGCAGTGATGAATGATCCCGGTTTCGGAGATGGTAGCACTCGGGATTTTGATGCCAGTGGGAGCCGCTGGAGGTAGAATGGCTCACCAGGTCGATTGGGTGACGGTAGGCAGCTGCAGGGGCAGCGGGAAGAACAGGAGGAAGAGGAGCGTAGTCCTCAGGATTGGTATTCACTCCGATAGATCGGAGATTCGAAGGACATCCAGAGGATGAAGGGGCTAAACTGGGAAGTCGAGCACCTATGGAGGAGGACGAACCCCTGGGAAGTCGAGCACCAGGAGCTGGCAACTGAGTGAAGGAGGAAGGCGGGGTGCTTGCGGCAGGCTGCTGCGTGGTCCCAGAATCGGGCGAGGAATGCACATCCAGAACCCCGGGAAATCGAGCACCGAGGCCTGGGAACACGTACGCAACTAAGCCTAAGAACCTCCTAAGGAAGGACCTAAAACCCTCGTAGGCTAAGATCACAACCGTAAGGTACACTATAACCCAACCCCAACCCTCAGGCTCAGGAGAGCCTTGCCCTTTCAGAAGCAGGGCGCAGCATGCCAGCACTGCAGCTAGCCGCAACCTACAATCCTCAGACGGATTCTTAACCCCTAAAAACGGCAACATGTCGCCGAACTTTGAGGCTGTCATCGCCTTTGTAAGGATATCGGCGGGCATCAGCAAGCCGCTTAAGTGATAAACCGTCCAAACACCATTTTCGATCCTTTCACGTAGGGCATGGGACCTAAGTCTTAAGTGGCGGGATCTCCAGGAAGTTGGGGGGCCGCTTACAATGCTTATTGCTGAAGAATTATCTCCGAAGAGGGATCGAGTAAGGGGCTCTGGAAAGATCTCCCCAATCAAGGCCTCAACAGCTTCAGCTGCTTGCACAACACAGACGTAGCTGATCAGCTCGCTCTCAGCGGTTGACAGAGCAGTCAGCGTCTGGCGGCCAGATTCCCAGTGGAGCGGAGCTCCAGCCCAGCACACTAGCAGACCCTGGTGGGATCTGCCTGAACTTGGCCCAAAAGAGGCGTCTGCAAAAGCATGCAACGTCGTTTCAACGACCGGCCTCGGATACTGTTGAGAGGCCCCGCAGTCTCCAGGAGGAGGGCCATACACAATGCACTGGGGTGAAGAATTCAAGAAACGCAACACTCCCTGCCCAATGCTTAGCGCATCCTTTGGCCTCTTGGTGGTCAACTGTGCCATGCGGCTGACTGGAAAAGACAGCTCGGGGCGCGCTCGAACTGAGAGCCACAGTAGCTCACCAGTTATGCTTTGAGCGGCCTTAACCGCTTCCGGATCAACCGGGTCATCACGGCTTTCGCCATCATCGAAGTTGGCTGACCACGCGGCACATGGAGACTTGGCACTCCCCTGCACGTTGTGCCTCTTCAAGAGTTCCTTGATGTACTTGGTCTGCCCAATCAAGAGACCATCAGCAGACTCCGAAATCTCAAGACCGCAATATTCGACTGGGCCATCTTCAGTATGCGTAAATGCGCTGCACTCCCATGTGGCCTTGATTTTTTCAAGAAGTGCAGATCGCTCCGACCAGGGGCTGGATTGGCCTCAGGCATACGCTGTGGGTTCGGCCCCACAAACCTTAGAACCCGATGCCCACAAGGCTCCCCCGGGCTTCTTGAACCCTCGCCCAAATTGGTAGGCGGCATTCCCGGAGCGTCATCCGCTTCACGGGTTTCTGCAATCTCCCCCGGGCTCTCTGAACATGAGTCCTCTCCGGATTCCCTTCTATCCTCAGAAGAAAAAACCTCATCAGAAGCAGCTGGATCTTCATAGACGCCTTGCAAGGTCGAGAACTCCTGCTGGGGAACTTCCGGCATCCCAGTTATCTGTGATTGGTCAGCCGAATCTGACAGGAAGTCAACCGGCCCATCCGAACCAGCTTTCAAGGAATCCTCAGACTCAGAAAAACTCCGACGGGAAAATTCGCCCGAACCGTAAAAATCCGAAAAATCTGCTATGGCACTCATCCCCCCCGCAGCAGGAAGAGAAGGGCCTTGCAACGTGACCCGAACAGAAGGGCCCTTGGAGCCGTGACGGTAGTGGGGCGTCGGCAAAAACGCACCTGTGCTGGAACCCGACAAGGGCTTCGGCCTAAGAGGAGGCTCAGCAGGCTCAGACGGAGGGCGCGGCCGGTAATCAACAGGATACACCGCCGACGTAATGCACACCGTGTCATCCTCAAACAGCACAAGGTACGAAGACAAGGTCTGCGGAGCCGGGCCAATCAGAACTCCAGACCGAGTTCGGGACATCCAAACATCCCTGTGGCGAAGGCGCTTGCGAGCCTCAACAGGCGTGCCATAAGCCAGCAAAGACCTGGCCGCACCACCCAAACGAACAAGGCCCTTACGCCACATCACTTCTCCGGCATGTCTCACTGCCGTGGGCCAGTGGCACGAAGGCAGATTCGCCGAAAGAAGAGCTCTGCGGGCCGCTCGCTTGACTTCTCGAATCGCGACCTCAGCGGCGCCGTTTGAGGGATGATCCTCAGGGGCTGTCCTTGTGGAGTGAATGCCCTGCTCGGCCAGAAACCTTTCAAGCGAATCACTCAAGTATTCCCGAGCCCTGTCGCTATGGAAGCGAAAGCACGGAATGCCAAACGCTCGGAGGCGGGCAACAGCACGCATGATTGCAAGCTGCACATTGAAGGACTGGCGGGTCTTCAGCGGTTCAGCCCACACCAAAGTCACAAACTCTTGACCATCATCGGAGTCACTGCCCTCAGGCTGAAGCGGCGGAGGCTTGTGAGGAGATTTAACCTCAAAGCTCACAGGAAGAGCTGAGTCGTCATCCTCCCCCGGCGTGGAAGAAACCCCAACGGCCGAGCTTGGCTCTTCAAGGAAGTCATCCCCAAGCTTTGTGTACACCTTAACCCGAGAAGGCTGCTCAGCATCCCCCTTTAAGGGCTCTCCGGTAACATGCACCGGCTGGTAGATCAAGCTTGCATGGGGATCCTCCTTATCCTGGGCCTTAGCCTCATCAACCTTTCTTGGAAAGCTATTTCAGAAGACTTATCCCGCCACTCCTTCTTATCACTTTTGACCGGCACCCTTATTGTGAAAATCACAAAATACCTGCATGCTCCTCCAAAGTCACGGCCCTTGTGGTACGGACCCGCAACATCACTGGAGAGCTCAAACAGATGCGGATGCTTCGTGAAGTGGGAGCGATCGCGGGAAGCTCCTTGAATGCAAATTGGGCAATCATTGCGACACGGCAAATGATCTGCTTGGCAGTGCCTTTCCCAAACCTCGGGTGACATCTTAGCCACAGTGGCTTCCTGGCACAAGTTGAGAAGGAGTCCTTCCCGCTCACGGTGTGAGCCTGCAAGCGCTCAAAGCTGACACAGCAGTAGTCATCCCAGGCCCGCAGAACCCGGCTAACAAGCCCAGGAGCCCACTCCTTGCCGTAGAAGTTAGAAGCCGGGGCTTCAATCACCTCTGGAGGAAGCTTCAGCTCATGAAGAGACTCGTACAGCTGAAAGCTGCTGGTATACACGGCAGTGGCCTTAGAGCAGGGATGGCCACCTAAACCCTGGTCGAAGCTGGCGGTCCATCCCCCCAGACACACAGAAACATTCTCATACTCGGGCCATTCCCACGCAGTGGAAGTCTCAGGCATTTCCAAGCAGTTGAAGAACTTCTCTTTGGCACACGAGGCTACAAAGGTCAACAGCAGAGACCGGAGGAACAACAGGGTGTCCCGATCAACCAAAGCACGATCGGACGGGCTGAGGTCTGAAAATCCAAACCTATCATCCCCCTCTTCCCCTCGGAACTTCAAGCCGTTCGAGGAGGACGCCAGGGCTTCAGGATTGAAGGTCCTGCTTGGCGGGCCACATACGACCCCATCGATGACACCCAGGGTGGCTGCCCGCAGCAGCATGCCAAACACATCATCAGAAAGAAGGTCCGATCCCCTGGAGATATCAACCTCAAGCACTTGGCCGACAGAATGTCGCCACCGCTGCTTTCCAGCAAACAGATGCACCAAGGTTGGGAACTGAGGGTCAAACAGCTGTCTCCTGGTCCGGCGGTTGAAAGGAACGCAGGAGGGATCAAAGGTGGGACTCACCGCAACCTGAGACGCTAACCGTTCTGGGAGCCCAGGAAAGAGGGTCTTAACGATCAGCTGCAGCTCACTTTCGCTGCACGAATCTGCCGCCACATGGGCTGCAACCCACTCCCTTAGGGACGAAAGCCCAACCTCCTCCTGGCCAACTGATCGCTGCCAAAGCTGTTGCGACACGGCCCTTGAGGTCTCACGGCGCAAGAGGAAGCGCTCGTACTCGCCAATCAGGCGAAGCACCAGAAACTCTGGCAACTCAGGAGTGCCATCCTTGAGTCTCACCGGGAGAATCCCGAGACCTGGATGCCGCACGTGAATGCCCCGGTCAGTCCAGTTGATCTCACAGCCCAAAAGCGGCAACGCATGCATCGGCAAGATTGGCTGCACTGACTCCCTGACCAACAAAGTCCCGGCGGAATTCACATGCATCAGAGCCTCGCCGATCGCGAGAGACAAGCTCACCGGGCGGGACTCCTGGATTTCCTGAGGCGATGCCTGGCGGAGAGAAGCGGAGGCCCCGCTATCCAACAAGCCGTAGCCAGTCGGGTTGCTCACAGCACTAAGCCGCAAAGCCTTGGTCTTGATCGACCTTAGCACACTCAAGATTTCTGCATTGATGGCTGCGTTACCATCCCCCTGACTCGGAGCTGCAGCCTCTGCCTGGTCATTCGCGGTCCCAGCAGGCGCGGTTTGAGGGTCTACGGTAGCAACCTTAGGTTTACCCCCAGGCTTGCCTTCCTTACCCTTACCTTCCTTAGCCTTACCCTTCGCCTTACCCTTAGGAGAGGAATCGGCAGGGGCCTTTGATGTCTTAGGGCTAGTGGAAGGGGACTCCTCATTGGCAGCCTTAACCTGGCTTTCACCGGGCATGAGTCCGCCCAGTGATCTTCGGCACTGCAACAGAAGCATCGGCCCCGCATTTTTTCTTCATCCTGGTCGTGGTAGAACTGACAGGACGACCCGTACGTGCAACCGCCAGCCGTTAGCCAGCTTCTGCAAGGTTTCATGCCTGCACCCGGCGACTTGGGTCCCGCTGGAGAAGCCTTGGCCTTCGGGGTACTGGGAGACGTCTGCAAGCGCTGCAAGCGCTGCTTCTTAGCATCATCCCCTCGGCCTTGAACCTCATCCTTCACAGGATTGTCATCCGTGGAGTGCATCAGGTGCTCAACCTCCGCCTGCATCATTCGACACAACTCCGACACAGCGTCGGAGGTCGGCTGGTAGTCAACCCCAAGCCGCTCACGGAAAGTGGCAAGTCGGAAGAGGCTCGCAGAGTGCTTCTGCAACACCTTTCCTGTCAGGACATCTAAACCCTTAACCAGAAGCGTCGTGTCAGGCTCTGCTGCATGCAGTTGTTTCAGGCGCATCCGCCATTGGGTCCACTGCCTCAGCAGCTTTGCAGCCTCCGACAAAGTGGAAGCAGCCTTCGGCGTCACCAAAAAACGCAACATGGTTGATCGTTCTGACGCTCCCCCGGGCTGAAACACCGTCATCAGACGAAAGATCATTCCTGCCACACTCAGGTGGCGTGAGGCGACAATGTCAACCCTCACAGCATCCAGGATTGCCTGAAGAATCAAGGTCACGCATCGCTGTTCCAGCAAGGCATGCTGGGGCTGCACCAAGTTTACTTGATCAAACTCCTTCTGGATCGACAGCCTTTCAAGCGGGGAAGTGGAGAGCCACCGCACGTAGGCCTGGTTGGCCGCCTGGTATGTATAACCCCACCAGACACTTCCGGTGTCTGACAGTGAAGAAATCATCGGCTGGACCACTGCGATCCAATCTCCAAGCGCGGTGGGGTTGTTAGGGTTATAGGCCTCTAGGGACGGTAGGGAACTTACATGTTTACCCACAGCCTCAGGCCTAAGGTCCTTAACATCAACCCGACCACTATTTCCAACCGGCGGGGCAGCTATGGGAAGACTTAAACCCGAAGGGGCCGGTGGGCTCGGGGGCGGAGTAGAAGAAGGAGGCCTCGGAGGAGGCGATTGGTATCGAGGCATTGCCGCTCCCGCGCAGGAGGAGACAGCATGGCAGGATGGCACTGGAAGTTGTGCTCCAAACGCAGGATGCTTCGGAGGAGATGGACTGTTGCTCCACGCCCCAGGAGTGGGCGGAGCTGCGACCAAGGGCGAAGTCCACTGCGGAGGAGGAGGAGGGACGAAGTCCATAGGCTCTAAAACCAACGAACCGTTAACCACCTTCCAGCTATGATTAACTCCCATAACCCTTATTACCCCAGACGAAGTCGGCAACTGGGCACGGGGAGACAGAGCGAAGTACTGAGGTCCAGCACCCGCGGCAGAATGAAGTCCAAAGTCCATCGAAGGAACCTCGGAAGGAGAAACGGGATTGGGAATCCCTGAGGAGGATTGGACTCCTGGGGGCCCTGTAAAAGAGTGAAGTCCAAAGTCCATAGACGGAACCTCAGAAGGCGAAAGGGTAGCCCCAGGAGCACTCGCAGTTGAAGTCAAAGGCACCTTGTCCCCAGGAAAAGCCATCGGGGAGTGAACAGATGGGCCAAAATCCATATCGAGGGAGGACTGACGTGGAGGTTCCTGACCCAAGACCAGGTCGTGAGTGGAATGAAGGGGGTCCGAAGCATTCCAGGAAGACCACCCCTCAGAGGCGAAAGGAGGCAGAGGTGGCACCGGGGGCAAAGGATAACCCTCCTCAGACTGAAAGTTTACCCTTTGGCCCTTGAGCTCTAGTTCCTCTACCCTATGCCCAGAAGAGGCCGACCCAAAAGATCTGGATCCTCTCGTACTACGTTCAGCCTCAGCTTTCTCTAGCCTATCATGAAGATGCTCAACCAAAGACCGTAGTCTAACGATTTCGAAATGTTGCTCTGAGGGATCCGGGATCTCGTAGGCCGAACTCTTCTGGGATTTCTGGGCTTCCGGAGACAGAGGGATAGACCTCCTTGCAGTGCCTTCACTGACACTTTCAGCCCCTTCCAGAACTACCCTCAGGCTACTCCTGTCTACTTCTCCTACATAGTTAGATCTGTTCGGAACTCCTCCATCTGAAGCGACCGTACCGAACGTTGTGGAGGTCTCTGGGATCTCGAGGCTTGCCGAAGAATCTCCAAAGGCCTGCAAAGCCGTCCTGGAAACCCCCGCAACCTTCGGAACCGACACCCCAGAATCCGAAGAGTCCCGAGCAGTCTCTAGGCCAGGAGCATCACCCCTCACTGCTGTCGGCACAAAGCGCCGTTCCGTTGCCAGCTCGGGCTGTTCTCCAGATTCCAAAGAGGCTTCATGCTGTTGGGACTTGAGAGGAGACATGGTAAGCCAGTCGGGCTGCTCATTGTGGGTCTGCGGCACGGAGTTTCCCAGTACAGTCTGTTCGGGCCAGGTAGAGGAGGTTGTAGTGTTCATCCTTAAGTTCTGGATCTCCTCAACTTGTTCTTGAAAGAAACGCCCTTTGACCCCAGGATCAGTCGCCTGCCCCCCAGCAGCCTTAATGACTTCCGAACTCCCTTGTGAACTGGAAAGTCCTCGGCCCTTGCCGCTAGCATTGTAATCTGGCTCCAAAACCTCGTCATCGCATCTCACCAGGTCCAGCGGACGGGCCTTCTGGATGGAGATTTCCATCTTCGCTTTCTCGCTCCAAAACGGATTAACCTCAGGAGCCCCGTCTTCCGGAGCAGAAGGGCTCGCCGGTTCCTGCTCTTGCCGCTCCTGTCTGCGGCGTCTTAGAGCAGGGTCCATGGTTCGAAAGGTGGATCCTACCACTTTAACTCAGCGACTTATCACCCGACTAAGCTAGGACCTAGAGCCTAGACTTATAAAGTCAGGGAGCGGAGGGCGATACTTAGGGGCCTAAGCCTACAAAGTAGAGCTAAAGGAACCCTAAGGGAGCTTGGGCTCCTAACCTCTTTTCGAGGTGCTACCGAGGAAGGGCCTTTAGAGGAACCTGGCTACCTAAGCTTTGGACTCTAGGCTCAACCCTGAACTTACACCCCAAAAGGCACGCAACAACTTTATATACGCTGAGCAAAAAGGCCTGCATGTGTGTCATTCTGCGCAGGGGCTCATGCTGAAATCACTCCAACAATAATCATTAAGGCCTCCTCTATTTATTAAACTCTAGGGAGCCTCTCCGGGAGCGTTGGGCCCACTCGAAGAGCTTGTGCCTCAGATGGGTTTGGGCCCGTTGGGCAGTATAGCGCTAAATAACTAGAATGGGGTTCCTTTAGATTCTTGTAAGGGTTCTTTTACAGGGGTCTAGAAGGAATCTATAAACAGAGGTCTATGGTTTATGGGCCTAAATCATCGCAGTAATATTTTGGTGCTTCCTTGTTATAATTATAGCAGAATGTGCGCCAAAACCCAGCTTGTGTGAGAGGCAACAGCTTCCCGCATTAAGCCTTGGGGTATGGGCAATGATGCACTTGATGGTAAAGGCTCGTCGGTTGTGACCATCAGCATCCCAAGGCTCCGCCTCCTGGGTGCCCCAGCCAACACTCGCATCACCCAACGAAAACATCAACACGTCCTAGACCACCGGAGCCCTGCAAATCGAACCCTGCAAAGTCAGGTTGCAGCTCGTTGGGGCCATCGCGGCCAAGAGGGCCTAGGTCGCCGCCTTCGGCAGGGAGCAGGTTTCGGGCATTCCGGCAGCGTGCTGAAGAGGTTAGGACTTATGTGTGTTGGGCATTTGATGGTGTTTACTTTTGATTAAGGGCTTTTGGATCCAGACAAGCCTACAAGATGAACTAAACACTCGATCGGCAAACCTTGTAACTCTAAATATCGCGTGATGAGCAGTGGTGAAGACAAGGTTAGTAAATTGGTGAAGCGAACAGGTCTGAACTATCACGTGTGAGACTCGCCGCAAAAGTGACGTTCACCTTCGGGGAGGAGCCCCCACAACCCTCGAATATTTATCAAAATATGCACAGACAAGTCAACAGAGTAAACTCTGGCTCTACCTGACTACCATTATAGTAGGTGCGTAGTACCCTAAAGTATACTTGTATACTACTATACAGTTACTTGGACCCTTTGGGCTACCTGTTAAAAGCCAGGGCGCCTGACATGATGGCATAGTCCAGGCCAGACTGCTTTGCCAGCGTTCGTGCGAAGAGCGTCTTCCCGGTGCCTTCCGTAGCAGAGCCCGGCTCTGCAGGGATTTAGGGTTTAGGGGCTTATGGTTTTCTTAGGATTTAAGGTTTTTTGGGGATTTAAATAAGGTTTAGGGTGTTCAAGACTTCGGACGAACAAACAGTGTCGCACCTCGGGATGCAAGAGGGCCTAGGCTTCGGGGCTCAGTGGCTTGGGATGGCCAAAGGCTTGTCGAGGGCGCGAAGGGGATGTGAGGTTTGAGGACCTTGGGCTTCTCTCGGCCTTGGCATGTTTCTGTATGCAAACTCGAAGCTCCGGTTGCTATATTCGAGGATTTGACAGGCTTGGGAATTAGGGCTGGAGCCATCCCTCCATCCGCGATAGGGGCACCGGGAGGTCCGTGAAGGAGCAGATGGCGGAAGGGCGTCCCGTTCCTCAGAGGCTGCAAGATGCGGCTTCAGCCTGAACACCCAACCCCCTGAACCGCAAACACGAAATCAGAATTGAAATTTGGCAACCCGAAAGGTTCTTAATCGAGAGCTTAATTTCACACCCCAAAAGGCCTCCATAAGTTCGCACGGAGGCTTTGAATGGCTGCTGCAGGGCTTGAATAACGCTTCGAGTGGTTCAGGCATCTGGATATTCGAGGTCCATGTGGGAGCTCAGGGCATTTATTTCCTTGCCGGGGCGCTGCTGTGCACTGAGCAGTGCATTGGTGGACCACTGAAGACGCTCCGACAGGGCCTCCTCCAAGACGATCTTTTCCTTGTGTCGGGGCGGTGTGTAAAGGGTTTAGCGAGCTTGCTCCAAAATTTTTGTCCCTGTCAAGATACAACGCACAACAAGGACCTCGAAGGGGACTCGAATGTGGGAGATGATGGCCAGTTTGTCGAGGAGGCCGGTCCAAGCCCAAACCCAAATCAAACTCGAGGCCATAGAGACAAAGCTTCGAAGAGGTTGGTGCTTGTGCCACGCCCGGGTAGCCAGGATAGCTGCGGCCGCCAGGACCACCTTGGCAAGCAGGAGCTTCGAGTTTGCGATCTTGAGGATAACGAGGTGTTTTGGACGTCATCAGGAAGATTGTATGCAGGAGGGTTTATGTTGAAGATGTGGGGATCATCTGTGAGTGTGCAGAGACAGCAGTGGTCATTCGAGTAAATGGAAATCCTGGAGTCCAAACCTCACAACATACCCAGCAAATCTCTCGGTTCTAGACCGAAATAAACATGCAACAACATAATCCGTCAATGCCCCAACTCCTAAACCCGAGCTCCAACACAAATTTGCAGAGCCTTGAAGTCTCGCGCACCAAAGGCGGCCGACTGAGGTGTCTCTCCTGAGGATGTGAGATGAATTTCTAAAGATGTTTCGGTCCAGGGATGTCCAGGGTTCTTATGAGTTCAAGGGGCTTTCTGAATTTATGGTTGCGGCTCATCATAGGGCTTCTGGCTATAGGGCTTATGGGGTCTATAAGCGCGCCTGAGGCGCATGGGGTGTGCGCTCTGGGCGTGCGGACTTGTCTGTAGCTTGAGCTTAAAGGCCAAACATAAACACAGTGATTTGAAGCACCAACTTGCAATCTTTCTCGCATAGAATTCCGGACGCAATGCCCCTTACCTTAAAGCTCCAGGTAAAGAGTACCTGCGCTGGAGGTCTTGCGACATGAATTGCCTGCTCTGGGCTGTTTGAAGTTCCAAGGTAACCCCATCAATAGCGAGCTGCTAGAACACGGCCCGCCACGCGTGTCGCCGAGCGGGCGCTGTAGACACCCACTGCGAGCGCAGTGAGGCCTTCGCCGAAGAAGCAACATCTATGTCAGACAGGGCTTTAGTCGAGGCTCCTCGGGTCAGAATGATCCAGAATTCTGACTGGTAAGACCTCGAAGGGCACTGTGGCTTTATCGGGCCGTATGATGTTGAAGTTCTGCAGATGGGAAGATGGATCCATTCTCTGACTATGCATCACGACGAATACGAGCGCCTGCCAAATGGAGCAATGGTAACAGAACGAACCGTGACACTGAATCCTGAACTTGATATTGCATACTTCAATGATTTTTGTGACACTGCGGCTTGGACGGAAAGGAAGCATAAACCCGGCAAAACAAATCCTCGGCGTGTAGCCCGAAGACTCCAAAGATCCCGGACCCTGGACTCATCCTGATGTTGGCTCCACGTATGTAGGCATTTCCCATTTTAGCATCATTTCTGGATTCCGAAACTTGCTGTGAATGTGCAGAATGGTATATCATGCCTGCTTCAGGCGTGTAAACACTATGAAACCCGCGATCCATTCTGCACAATGAACTGGCCTCCAACCAAGGTGATTGTCTTGGCCTCGCATGGTGCCGAAGAATTGAAGCAGCTCGGTCTCTGCTTGCCTACTTTAACCGTAGTTTCATAGGGTCTGTAGGACGATGATGTACGACAAGATACTACAAATAGGCTCTAATATACAAAGATAGAACATGATATAGTCGATTGCACTCTGTACGGTATTGAAACGGGGGGTGTTGGAAGGTGAAGCGGGGTGGGTCTAGGAGCTGTAGATGGATTCAGCGATTGAACATCCATAATACTCCGCTGCGATCTGGGATCCATTTCAATCCATTTGCGAGGTCTCGTGTTCTGAAGTTCCAAACACTGTGTAATTCTGGTGCAAGGTGGTTGGCCACAACAGGGACAGCTGGCACAGCACACAGATCTGAATCACACCAGCCTCGAAATATCTTGCCGCCAAGATGCGCGGTCTTCGTAGAGCGTCTGTGCACCGGCACTCATGCTCCTTCGTCGCATGACAGAGTTGGGATTTGAGGTCTGGGAGTGGCAAAGTGCCTGTTCTCTGTGACGTAGGCTTCAGCTCTTCTTGGTCGTGTTCGCTGAACCCCGAAACCATGGAATCCAGCCTGAAGCCGTTGAACACTCAATCCTCAGTCAAAGAGAAAAACGGATTTCAAGGCATCTTGTAACAAAGGCTCGTGAAGAAGGCATCGATGGTCTCCAGCGTTGTCCTCCGAGGCTTGCTTCAAAGGTCACGCACAAGTACGACGGAGTTGCTCATGAACCCCTGACAAGCCCTTAAACATACGAGACCCTTAACCGAGCCACTCAAAGGAACACTTAATGCCCCGAGCCCTAAACCGTTTTGCGCGCATAGACCAGGAAAAAGACCTTCAAGGAACCCTCAAATGGACCCTGTAAGGAAACGCCTTAGGACCCTTTAAGGGAATTTGACCGAGTCCTCCGCTTCTCGGCTGACTGGGCTCTCATCTCACGGAGGCGGATGTCGATGTTCTCCCGCTCCTACACAAAGCGCAATCAGCAACTTGTCTTCGGAAAGGAAACGCGAGCGAACACTGAGTTGTGCAAGTCGCACTTGTCTTCGGGGCTTTGGGATGGTTGGGTAGGACTTCAGCGCTTGAGAGGGAGGGTCGGATAGGACTTTAGGGCTTTTTGGGACTTAGAGGCAAGGTCGGATAGGGTCGGGCTCCGCTCCTGTTGTGCCCGGCCAGCGGCATCTGCTTTCGCTGCAGCCTCCGCCACAATGAAGCGTGGATGATTTCTGGGTTAGGGTTCGGGGCACCTCCCTCTGAGACTTGATTTGGGCATCGTAGTGTAGAAGAGCTTAACCTACAAGCCCTGAGC